CTGTGGTTCCATAAGCCAACAGAACCACCAGCTGCTGCCAAAAAACAACTCTCCCACTTCCCATTCCTGTCACTCCTTCCCATTCACACCAGCAGCTGGGAGCTGCACCAAGCTGTATTGGTTCATGCTTGTGCCAGCACCAGTAGCAGGACTGGAGAAGCAGAGATGAGAGTGAAAAGCTGGAAATGATTATGGCATTGTCATCTCAAATTAAGCTCATCTGCCTTTAAAAGATACATGTGATCTTCCAGCCCTCACACTCACCCTGAGGGCAACAGGTCTGACTCATCCTGCCATAAAGGTGCAGGTTCTTCTGCCAAGACCCATGGGCTCTTCTCTAGGCTGAGCTTCACAGCATAGAACACTTCCTTTTGACCCCGAAGCTCATGAAAGAAGCTGTTGTGCAGCTACACAAGTACCACACTTACCAGTGCTCAACAACCAGAGAGGAAAAACCCATGTGCCTGGGCACACTGAGAACATTATTGAGAACTGTACTGGTTGCACATGCTCAGATGGACAAACTAACACCTTGCAGATGAGCTTCAGCTCCTGCACCACCAATCTCCTGCTGTTTCTTTTCATACATTTTTTTCTGCTTCAGGTTTTCCTTTGTGATACACAGAATATCCTCTTCCATTGGGCAAGATTCCTGACGTAGCTAGGGCTGGGTAAATGGCTGTGCACTACACTTCAGGTATGTGACAGCATACCTAAAAGCAAATTAAAACCTCCTACTACATATTTTATTATGTATAATAAATGGAAATTATGCCTGTAAGAATAGGGGGTGGAATTTGATGGTAGAGTACAGTCGAAGAGCAAACAGGCCATAGAATGTATTTCAGGGTGGAAAACCCCATCTGCCAAATGTCCTGAAGTCTCACAAACCAGTTCAGTCATATAACCTTACCAAAACAGGATAGCCAAGCCTGAAAGAGCTAGTGAAGGGTACCTTTCAGCCCTAAAAAAACAGGGGAGTGTCGCACATCAAAACAGGAATGATCACATGCATTACTGATTTCACTGTAGTGACAGAACAAGGGGTAACGGGTTAAAACTTAAAACAGGGGAAGTTTAGATTGGATATAAGGAGGAAATTCTTTCCTGTTAGGGTGATGAGGCACTGGAATAGGTTGCCAAGGGAGGTTGTGAATGCTCCGTCCCTGGCAGTGTTCAAGACCAGGTTGGATGAAGCCTTGGGTGAGACGGTTTAGTGTGAGGTGTCCCTGCCCATGGCAGCGGGGTTAGAACTAGATGATCTAAAGGTCCTTTCCAACCCTAACCATTCTATGATTCTATGATTTAATGTTTTATAGCTCTTTCAGAATGCCAGGAGGATATGACAGAATTTCCAGTGTTTAGGGTGCTGCATTTATTGCCGAGTGCAAGGCAAGTGCACAGGGGCACAAGAAGAGCACTTACAGGGACATTGTATGTCTCCTTGCATGATGCTGCAGTGAGCCCATAAGGATGTCACTAGTTGGAAACTTCACCTGCTCAAACAAGTTCCAAGCTATCCCAGATTATATAGTTCAAAACTCAGATTATATAGCTCAAAGATTACATAATATGAGCTCCCTTCCAGTTCCTACACCGCAAATCCACACTTTGCTCAAACTGGCAGATGCAGCAGACACAAGAAATGCAGAAGCCATACCAGCTGAAGCATCACTGTTCCCACCAGAAGACATTCCCATGCTTCTCCTTCAATCAGTGGTGTACTAGGCTGGCAGGTTTAAAGGGGTGAGAAGCGACCTGTTCAACATTATAGCTGAGCAATTATGCCACTCTTTAGAGCTGTCAAGCAGTATTACATTACAGTTTACATGCATATGTAAACAGTTTACATTACAGTTTACATACATATTTACAAATGAGTTCAAGAGATACTGAACTTCAGTGTTACACTGGCAGTTGCACAAAGCTTGGCAGAGTCTAAGATAAATTCTCCCATTTCTCCAGTACATACTTGTAACCTTATCCTGTTTCACAGGATCTCATCCTGCATGTAACATCTGCCAAAAAACAATACACACAGCTCCAGGTCCACTCTCAACCTGCTACACTCCCTCTGTCCCCAAGCTCATGAAAAACACTTTCCCTAGACAGCTGCTTCAAAGAAATTAATGTCTACAGATGCTTTGATAAACAGTCTGTTACCAGAAGGATATATCTATCAGGTAGCATAACTGGCGATTCAGAGATAGGGTCCCCTGGTACACTTCCATTATGTTTTCTTACTGCTATTACTCAGCTGAACTACTGATGAAAGTCAGTGGGATGATAAGACAAACAGTAAAAGGCAAATAAAGTCTTCATGTGTTGTGTTGACAGCAGCCTGCAATAGCTGAGCTTCATTCTGTATGTGACCCAGAGGATTAGTGACACTGTACATTAGCATCCAGGCCCTGGATGGAGCGTCAGAGAAAGGCAGGTGGGATTATACAGGAGAAAGACTTACTCTGCCCCTGTGAGTACTATGGGGGTCAGAATATCACTTCATTCTGCTCTAAACCTGCAAGGTGGGACATTTTGGCTGACATTCTCTTTCTGATAGCAGCTTTGGACAAATTATTGTGTGTGTGGTTTTAACTCTGATGGTTTCAGAAGATGTCCTTTCCTGCACAAGAACGACATTTCAACCTCAGCACATAATTCAGATCTCATCATTTCACTGAACACTTGCAGATGAAAGCTCTGAAAAAGGTCTCACTTTCATCTGCATGCTCCTGAGGCAAAATGAAAACCAGAGGGGAGCACCTGATGAAGATTCTGCTAATGGGATCGCCTCCAATTTTCCTTATTGGGACTGACCACAGCATATAAATTCAGACATAAAGAATTATTTTTATTAGCAGCATCCCACAAGCCAGATAATTTTTTTCATCCAACAGCAGCTTTGAGAGACAGAAAGGATTAAAGAGTCTAGTTTGAAATATGAGCACCTCAAAAGCATGTCCAGATACTGAATTACACAGCTCAAATTGTCATTTAAAGTCATCTTTTTATATGTCTAGCCTATTATCATCTAGCCTAGATTAGGACAGGACAGTATAAGGCTTCACAGGGTAAATACACTAGGCAACTTGCTCCAGTTTGCTCCTAGAAGAAAGAAACTCCATGTCCTTCACTTCTATTCTGACCTGCTGTGCAATTTCTATTAATTGCTCCTCCTCCATGAAGTACACTAATTGGATGTACCATAGCTCTGTGTCCAATACAGGCAGTAGGTTAACTCATGATCAGCTGGAAGAGCTTTGCACAGCTCAACCTCTAATGTTAATTGAGTGCAAGATTCCGCAATGCAGCATAATTCATGCTGCCAAGAGTACGAAGTGCCTTCACCTGTGCCTGTCATAGGAAAACCTGGAATCTAGGGTACACCCACAGGGACTTGCAAGGCAGACACTGTCACATACAGTGATCATCTAACATTTGACAGCTACATCCAAGCATAAGTTCTTTACTGTGAGGGTGTTGAGGCACCGGAATGGGTTGCCCAGGGAAGTGGTAAATGCTCCATTCCTGGCAGTGTTCAAGGCCAGGCTGCACAGGGCCTTGGGTGACATGGTCTAGTGTGAGGTGTCCCTGCCCATGGCAGGGGGTTGGAACTCAATGATCTTAAGGTCCTTTCTAACCCAAACCATTCTATGATAAGCAGCACTTAAGGCAGAACGGTGAAGGACAAAGTTTTGCGGTGTCCCATGGGTGAGGACTGATATCATAAATGTGGGACTCCTTGCACCAGGCAGTACCCACCAACATGAGTAAAACTAATGATACAGCATTCAAAACAGCTGGGAGGTGGACATGGGCTCCTGGAAACACCGTTCCAGCCTCTGAGGCTTTGTATTTGGGTGCTATTACCAAAATATCTACACATCACCCCAGCCTGGGCCACAACATACTGATCCACAGAAAGAGTATCAGCCTCTGAGGCTCCTTTCCCAAACAACAATTAAAGAAAACATCAGCTTCAAGCTTCATTCTACTGCACCACAGGAGAAATGCTAAAATGAAAACTGGAAGGATGAGCCTGGAGAAGGCATTGAAGGGACTAACCCTAGGTCAGAGGGATGAGATAAAGGTTTTCATACTGCTAATTCATCTAAACATCGCTGCGGTCAGGGCCCACGGGCTTTGGGATTTTCATCTACATAACATTCAAATTTATTAGACTGGGGAATTTTCAGGGTTTGCTTTTTTTTTTTCTCTTGGCAAAGGTGTGTTTGTAAAAGGAGAAGTATTACAACTAAGGCAGAAAATGCAGTCCTCCCCTGCTTTCCCCAGACACACACGGAGCACACTAAATGTACACTGCAACAGCCAATAGCTGGTGCTATTGATGTTTTCTAACCTGTCTCCCAGAAGGTCAGATGGAAAGGGTCATAGCATCATAGACTGGTTTGGTCATAGACCTCTTGTCCTATCGCTACAGTTCCTGATGAAGAGTCCCTCTCCAGCATCCCTATAGGCCCCCTTCAGATACTGATCATTCTGGGGTTTCTTCAGCTAGAGTTTGATTGATCAGCTCCTGCTGCATGAAATTGTTTCTGTAAGTGCTTCTGCAAACAAACTAACAAACAAAGCCCTACTAGACTGTATTTAGTTTAGACATTTAGCATGGCATCTGAACAAGCTAAATCAGCCTGCTGCGAGCACGCCTACCTCCAGCACAGTATCTAATGAAAAAAAGTAAGGTTTCTTTTTGTTCACAGTTTTTATCTCCTTTTCCTCAATCCTGGTGACCCTCTATGACAAACATTTATACAACCAGCAGTCTAAAGGGGGTCACTGCAGAGCGAGCAAGCAAGCATAAAATAGAAGAGGCAGAGAGAAATTAACTTAAACCTAGATTCATGTTGCACAATTATCCCTGTAAATTCAGGAGCTCAGAGGAGCCAGCAGTGTGCTGTTACTTCTCACTAAGCACATCTGAGTGATTTACAAGTGACCATCAGTTCAGCTCAAAACAACAACTTAAGTCTTGAAATTACCTTGACTTGCTACTCGCTGCTTTGAATATGAGCTGCAACGCTCCGCTTTCCGGTCTGCAAGTCTCAGTTCCCATAAGGAAAGGCAGTAATCACTGAGATCTTCAGCAAGATATTTCTAAAACCATCCTTTTGTTGGGATTGCTGAGGAACATTCACTGGGGAAAGAAAAAAGAGAAATGAACACCGAAGAACAGAAAGTCTCTTTGCATTGATTTATTCTCCAGTCCACATTCTTAAGCACTGCATTATCCATCTTCCATATAAAATGATGTATTTATTACTATCTATTTTCCAGACATCCCACAATATATACCAAGAATTCTCCTTACAGAGAACTCTGAGCCCAAGAACACATCTAAGGGGATGGGTACAAGCAAACCCAAGCTCCTTTGCCTTTCCCTTCCAACTTAGTGAACTAAGAACAATGTGGGTCTCTACTCTTGCTTCGTAGACACGTTCAAGGACTCCAGATGTGTGAGGCGAAAGAATGGTTTAGGACTGGCCATGTGCACTCCATATTAACACAAAAGTATCTGGTGGATTAGAGAATAAACTAGTGCTTCTGTATTACTCTTGCTGCTTCTATTCTCCAGAGGACTTTAAAAGTGTGTATATTTACTCTGGGAAGAATCCAAACAACTTTCATTCACTTGTCCTATAAAACCATAATAGCTGAGTCAGTCTTTAAAAGCGTTTCTCTTTTTAGCTTTGTTTCCTTCATAGAGTACTTATTTATTTACCATAAAAATGGATCAATTTTTATTTACTTGAAAATGTGACCATTTTCTTTCCAGAACGGTTTGGAAGAGCTATTTCCCAACTTTAATCTCTTGTACCATATCAATAGGCACCAATGCCTTCAATCCTGAAGCAATTCTGCCTCAACTGTAGAACTAAATGAAAATTAGTGTTTTTTCAGGAAAAAAACAACAACACAGCACAATCCCACAATTGAGTAATGTCCTAACTGGAAGACTAAGAACTCAGTGACATGGTTTAGTGGTGGTCTTGGCAGTCCTGGGATAATGGTTGGACTTGATGATCTTAAAGGTCTTTTCCAACCCAGTTGATTCTATTTCATAGATAAATTGCTAAATTATTCCCTACTTTGTAAGGTGTGTTTGATAGCCCAGAAAGTATAAAACAACTGTAAGACCTAACAAACACCAGGCAAAGGATATTCCACATAATCTATATTCAAATTGCCCTGCTGATAAGGAATGTGGTCTTAACACACTGGGTTTCATGCTCTGGGTCACAGAGGATGACCCAAGTCTGTTTTACAGCCTGTATTTCAGTGAAAGGAGTGACTCCCTCCTTCTCAATGGGAGATTACAAGAAAAAGGAAAACCAACCAGTACAATAACAAATTCCTGAAGAGCAGCAAGACTTTATACCACTCAAATGAAGACACACTAGAAGGCATAGAAAAGGACTATGGACTGGTACAAGGCAGACATTTCAGCACACTTCTGAACACTACTGAAACTGACAACGCTTTAGTATTTTGCTGCTCTGATATCTAAACAGGCTTCAATTCATATAGACAAACTCTTCATAGAATAAGAGCATAAACTGGGGTTGGCAGAGACCTTTAAGTATCATCTAGTCCAATGAGCAGGGACATCTTCAACTACATCAGGTGGCTATCGCCTTCTTTCAACCCCACTGGATAAAGTTCACATATATACTAATGTAACTTCTACTCTGTTCATCATATATCTGGCAGAAGCACCTCTACACCCTGACCCTAATCACATCCCGACCCAGCCTTTCCATAGGGGTTGAATCAGTTCCACTCCACATTGAAGAACTCATGGGCTTGATAAATCCACTGCCCTTCACCCAGTCCTGGCTGGAGGTTACAAATGAGTCACTTCTAAATTTACTCACATAATAGCAAAGTAAACAGAGACAAGCATTTCCCAACACACTAAAAGCATTAATACATCAGTTACCTCAGTGATTTAAGATTCACCTTCTGTGCCCTACGGCAAGTTGAGCTATCCTTCCATTAAAGTTTGTTTGGAAGAAGAATTAATACACATGTATAAGCTTTGAAAGAGATCTGTCATGTATGAAGAACAGCTGCTGATATTTATGCCCTACAGAGAGGCTCACTTGGAGTTTGATTACAATAGTCTAATGCTCTGATTTGTGAATTACACTCAGGAACAATTTATCCCCTCATGCAGATGTGAGCTTAACCTCATCAGTCCTGTCTGACATTCTCAGTGGTGCTTTTAAAGCTTTTGGGCACATTTGATCATGGAGTCATCTTGGTAATTCTGCTTGAGGGGATTTGTCAAAGCCATTAAGAGTGCAGGCTGGATGCCAGTGTCTGAAGGATGTAGTATCACCTGTGTTAGCCTTCATTAGCTGGTCAGGACTGTTATATAGTGAGCTAATTTAAAAGAGACAAGCCTCAAACTAAAAGCTTTACACAAAGCTTAATCCAAATCCTTAAGATCCAAAACATTTTCATTCATTCTCTTCCCATTCATTTTCAGCTCTGCATGATGTGTTACATCAGGAAAGCCAAAGACAACAGTCAGTACCCTGAAGAAGGCTGTACTCTCAGTATTTCCAATGTAATCAAAGGCAGGAAAAATGACAAAGGAGACACAAACCCAAACCCAAAGCTGAACTCTGGGTCCAGGCTTACTCAGAAGAAGGGAAGTTCAAGGGCCTGCAAATGGATTGGCCCTTCAGAAGCAAAGGAAGGACCTGGAAACAGCCAATTACTCCCCTCTTTGAAAACCTGGCATTACTAGTTGCTATCTTTGTTCACCTCATAAACTGCAGATATTCATAATTTGGTCAGATTGTACACAGAACCCTTAGCAGTTTGGCAGCTGAAGACAACACACCCAGAGCATGCAGAACTGCCTGTGCAATTCACATTCCAAACCCCAACCAGCAATGGGAACCAAGGGAATGGGTTGCAGAGGAGGGCCTCAATACAACACAACAATTCACAAGTGGGAAAGTACACAGAAACCTTCCATCCAACGTTTCAGCTTGTTCTGTGGCGTATGTTGGTCCAGTCCAGTAAGTGGGAAGACGAATGTGCTCTCCTGAGAGAGAAGAGAGCTGCTGAGCAACACATCTCACCCACAGAACAACTGTTAAGCCTATGTGTAGATAGGACCATGCAAGTCCATCCAGCTTAGACCTAAAACCAGAGAAAGGAATGTGTAAATTCCCATTCCCATTCGGTTTCCAGGGCCTCCCTACCTGGGGCCTGAAGTGCCTGCTCCAGAGCACATTTCTGCTTCAGCAGAGGTACCCCAGACTGCCCATCCTGGGGTGGTGAGGACAGGCCTCCAAACGCCTGGAGCTCAGACCACGAGCACACAGGAAATTGGGGCAGGATACTCTGAACTAACAGCACAGAAGACTAATACATGACCACTTTTGAGCCTCTAACCCACAAACTGTTGTCTCTACCAGCAAATGTACGGCAAAATCAGAAACAGAGCTGGGAACAAACCCATACTTTCAGTTCATTGACCTATCCCAGGAGGAAAAGTACAAATCACCCAGCTCCAGTTATCATGCCCAGCACAACACACAGTTTATGTATTATTTATCATATATGCATCATTCCTCCATCTACCTGAAGAGAGCTCCAGAACAAAGAACAATTTATTCCTTGATTAGCATAGAGACTGTCTGCCTTTGGGACTTGGATGTGTTTCACAGGAGAGGGAATGTGAGCACTTGAGGAGGGATTGATAGCTGTGACAGGTGTGTCTTTTGCCTTCCCCAGGAACTGAAACCAGAGCAGAGCCAAGCATTTGTGATCTCTTGGGTAGCTGCACCCTAAGTGAGCCAAATATTCAAACCTTTGCTGAGACAACAGCTTCCCATGGACAGCAGTGCGGACCACCAGGGACACATTCCCATTTCTCTACCTCCCACTGAGTTCCTACAGGAACTTAGTACCTACAGCTTGGAAGAAACCATCACAGAAAGTTTATTTAGAACAAGGATTCTGATGCCTATTAAGCAGCAACAGAGAAATCAACCTGTTTGGGTTTTATTGCCCAGAGGAAGGGAGGTTTTATTCCATTCCAGCCCACTTGCAATCTTTTATTTTTATGCTGATAATACTTTGCATTTATAGAGCATGCTACAAACGCACATATCTGCCATTTCTCTTGAAGTCTGGGAAGGAAGTGCTGGACAGCAGTGGAAACAGGGCACAGGGTGAAGTGGCAGAGTCCACAGCAGAGTAAGGATGGGCACTTTGGATCTCCCAGTTCCTCTGCCTCACACTCATTCTTGAATGGTCTGTTTTCCAAGGAACTTAAAAAACTTCCTTGGAAAATGTACATTTTCAGCTTGGTTTTCCTTGGAAAATGTTTCATGAAACCACACTGGTTGCCAGCCCCAAGGAACTTTCGAATCTGCTTACTGGTTTCAGCCAAATTTGAGAGGATTAACAGCCTCAAACTTGGTCCTATATTCCTGCACTTTTGGAAACCAACAGTTGAGCAGAGGCCTTCAGGTTAGTGTCTCCAGAGAAGGAGAACGCAGCTGCTCTACACTCTGCTTGGCAGCACCAATGTACATACACATGTACGTACATACATCAGCATTCAGGTCTAGTGACAAACTGACCAGCACATGCACAGGTCAGCTCTTTCCTTCCTTGTGGACTTCTACAGGGATGCTCTGAAGAACACAGGACTCCTAAATGTTTTCAACAAGGAGATATATTTTTTGATAGTAACACAGATAGACACAACTTATTTAATCCAGGACAACAAAGACGAAATATTCGAGCTCTTTCCCAGACATGAAAACATCTTTCACTTGCAGCCAATAGTATCTTGATTTTGCAAAGGTCCAAAGGCTCCTTATTATCACAATCAGACACACTTTATTATAACACGTAGCTTCAAATCTGATCTGGATTGGAGAAATAACTCTGAAGCAAACAAAATTAGATTATTTCTTTCTTGTTTCAGGAAGATCAAATCATAAAGCAGTGAAGACAACATCCCTTATGCTTGGATCCCTCACATTATCAAAACTCCACAAGATGCATGTTAGCTTCATGTGCTAATGCATGTTTGTCCAAAACAGCACTGAGACTACCAAAATCATTCTGAAAGGGACTGAATCTACTGCATGTTTGAACTTTTTCCTCTGCAAAGCACAGTATCAGAGCAAGGGGAGGGTGCACACAAGTATCTCAGGCTAGGATGGAGTAGGAATGCAAGCTCAAACCTGGAATCAGCCTGAATGGCACCTTATCCAGCCTCTGTTACAAATGGCAATGACTAGTGGAAAAGTCACAGCAGGTTATTTGTGCTGATTTTTAATCTAGTTCCAGCTCACGTTTTGTATCCAGTGTTTCAAGGACAAGTGGATCATTCCTGTGCAATTCAAAACCAGTGGTTTTACAAGGATTGATTGAGTCAAAACTTCAGAACAACAGGACATTTCCTCATGCATACCTCAATCACACAGGACTTACAGCTTCACATGCAGAAGAGAAAGCAGGCCTCAATCATGTATCAAGAGCCTTCCATGCCTAAAATACCCCAAGGACCAGCTCCAAAATCCACCCAAACTCAGCAGAAAGCATCCCCCTGATTTTGGTAACCTTTAACTCAAACACCTTTATGTTACTACAGAGTTTCTTTAAAAAATAAACCCAGCAGTACTGAACCTGTCAAACAAACCTCACAGAACATCCCAATTCATGAGAGGCCTGGAGCTGTGCTGCAAGTCCTTTCTCTCAGAGGCTGACAAGGAAAAGCCCATTCTGCTGCTCTGTACTTGTGCAGAGGTAACCCCAGGTGCAACGGGCTGCAGTGATCAGGGATCAGATGTGAAGAGGGCAGAGGCAGACAGGCCCCAACAACCTGTTAGGAGACACCCAGCACTGCTATTTATTTCATACACTGTAATCCAAAGCTGGTAGCTGGTTTGTGCAACAAAACTGAACCCTGAAAAACACCAGTACAACTGAACTGAGCAGGGAACTGGGTGTCTAGGTGGGCAATGGAGTTTAGAAAAGAGAATGCTGTGGTGTAAGAAAATTTCTAGGGTTAATTCACGAACCAGCTGCCTGAAGAGTCATTCCCTTGGTTTGCTTCTCATGTTAGCATCTGCATGCAAGATATGGCAATAAGATCATGTGGAATATGTATGAGATTAGCTCAGTGCTCTTAAGACGGATGTGGATTCACAGTAACACAGTTGATCCCAGTTCTCAAGTTATTTGTTCAGATTTGAAGTGATGCCGTACATGAAGATATCGAGTACCAGCTCAGTTGTGCAGTGGTTGATGAACCCCCCTAAGTCAGCACAAAATCATTTGTAAGTTAGAATGGGCTATATTCCAGTATCTGAAGGGGCCTACATGGATGCTGGAGAGGGACTCTTCATCAGGGACTGCAGCGACAGGACAAGGGGTGATGGGTTCAAACTGAAACAGGGGAAGTTCAGGTTAGATGTAAGGAAGAAGTTCTTTACTGTGAGGGTTGTGAGGTATGGACACAGGGCGCCCAGAGAAGTGGCAAATGCTCCATCCCTGGCAGTGTTCAAGGCCAGGCTGGGTAGAGCCTTAGGTGACATGGTCTAGTGTGAGGTGTCCCTGCCCATGGCAGAGGGGTTGGAACTGGATGATCTTAAGGTCCTTTCCAACCCTAACTATTATATGATTCTATGACATCTGCGGCCTGACATCAGTTTTACATACAGTTACACACATATTTGTTCAATGGGGCTGGTAAGGTCAGGCAAGGAGCTAGTCAGGAGCAGCTAAGTCCTGTTCTAACAGCCTTGGTCCAGACTGAGTGCAAGGCTGTATCTGTTATTCCAGTACCCACCCTGTTCTCTAGCTTGAGCCTATCCTTGGTGTAGAGGTGGTCCATGATATAGCTTTCAAATCCTGCTCCTTCTTAACAACTTTCCTCAGGAAAGGGAAACTTTCCTGCATGCTGCTCCTGACAACCTTCAGTATTCCTTCTACCTTGGCAGCACATCTTGCAAAACTGAACTAAAAAGCCCAACGGGTTGTATCAGCAAGGTAACTGGCAAAGGGCACTTGCTTGCACAGGGGTTTTACTAAACAGCTGCTGTTAGTTCTTCACTTTTACCAGTGGAGAACCAGGTGAAAAGAACATGTGCTGGAGAAAGACTTAGTTTATCAAGGGGGACACACTACACAAGTGTAATCTTACTGCAAATCAGCAGGAATTCTACACAGCATAGAGAAACGTGGATCTCTGCATGTTTGGCCTACCTTTAAAGGTAAATCATCCTACAGATTTTTAGATTTATTCAACCAGTGTGGTAAAAATCTACTCTCTCCAGCATCTGAAGGCTGGGTTTTCCTCATCTCTTCACACAGTACTTAGGTTCCACCTCGTGGCTTTCAACAGCAATGAACAGCAGACTGGATAGGCATTTTATTGCCTAAACGCTTCATTTTCAAATCTGTGTGCCTTGTTGCAGAAAGAATCAGTCTTCTTTAGATATATAATTTCTCTTACTATCTCCCCAGAAATTCTCTTGGCTCTCCAATGGGACTTTTCCAGCTACAGATACTTTAAACATCTAAAGCACATGGGTATTAAGTTTAACTGAAGCTTATTGTTGTGCAAATGGCACCACGGGTATGGGCTAGCTAAGAGCATCAGGAGCTTGCAGACAAGCAATAAGCAGTGCTGATGTAGCTGTTAAAGCAGCGGCTGGTCCCTCCGCAGCTCAATACCAGAACTTCGGTGGTATGAACCAAGCGAGACACATCTCACTTAACCACTGACGTCCTCATCATCGACCCCTTTCACAGTCAACTGCGAAACAAGCACTTGTAGACTGTGATTCAGATGAGTTTAAACTTTAGAGGTTTAACTTCAGACAAGATGAATTGCACCCTAGAAGTGTCTCCCTTCCCCTCTTCCATTACAAACAGAAGTTATAGGGCTTGCTGATAGCATGGTGCCTCCACACTGAATCCCACCCAAGGTGTAGGACTTAAGACTGCTACACAGTGTAGCCCACCTTGCAGTGAGATCTAAGCAGGCAGCAGAAAGGCTCTGGAAGCAACCACAGCAGTTACAGAGTACACCCAAGTTAAAAAGCAGCAGCAACAGGTACACCTACTACCACAGAAACTTGAATTCGACAATGATCTGTTCTCATAATACATTTCACCCTGTTGCTCAGCGCTATGAAAATGACCAGGGTAGGTTTATTTCACAGACAGTTCCGCGCCTGCCTACAGAACAAGCTACACTTGTATTTCAGTTCCCTGAGGCACAACACCCACCACAGACATTTTATCCCTTTAGGAAGGGCTCTAAAGAGTCACCATCTTTAAAGCGAAGGGAGAAAAAAAAAGCAACCAAAGAAATGTGAGTTTATCAGCTGCCACATTAGGGTCAAAAGCAGGTATTTTAAAGTCATTTTAGTGTTTTACACAAACAACAAGACAGAGTTCACCAGAATCACTCTACTTTGTCCAGAGAGATCACATCTATTTAAAGAGAAGGTGAAATAAGACATAAAACAAGAGGAAGTTGCCCCAGTTCATGATTTGTTGAGTGTGGGCTGGATGAAAGGTCTTTAACTCCTTAATGCAGCTTTTTCTGTCCATTCTCATTTCAAGGAGCTTTCCTCCTGCCTGCACACAGCTGGAGGCTTGCACCCAGCAAATCATGCCTGCTTGGCTAGAACGTGACTGCAGCGTGCAGTGGAACAGCTCCGATTTACGACTGCCTCTCGGTTTCCTCTTAGCTTACCTCTTCACCTAAGCTTTAAGGGGGCTGCATGGGCCAGACTGGCTCTTTCATGCAGAGAAAAGGAGGAAGTCTTTGCTGGTTTCAAACCTTCTTACTCTGTAATGGGAAACTAAGGCTGCACACTGCCTATCCTGCCGTTGGGTTTATACCCCAGTCAACCTACACTTTTCAACCTAATTATACCCATTCTGTAAGTCTTATTCCACAAAACCTGAGATTTACCAATTTGACCATCATCTCTCCATTTAAAGCCACTTATTTTTAAACACTTGGTGCAAAACCCTACGTTGTGCAGCCTTATCTCCCCAAATCCTGACTCCTACCACAGGGAGCAACTGCTGCTAGATGTGGGGAGCACACGGCAGCACCCCTTGAGGCAATCCTCTCATGAGCCTCAACTGGCCACTGAAACACGTCTCAGTGCAGCGGCAGTTTCACCCTCAGGTGAGCTCACCCCTGACAGTGGGGGAAAACATACAGGAGACCTGGATTTGGACCCGCACGTGCCTCAGCCACCGGTGTGGCTTCTCCCATGGGGGAAACGGGTGTGGGGGAAGCGCCAGGGGCCGGGCTCTGAGCCGGAGGTGCCGCAGGGGAAGCGGCCCTCACAGCCACATGGGGCAGGAGACGTGCTGGGGCCTGCCGCCTGCCTGCCCGCCCTCCGCTGCACGGCGGTGACAAAACGCGGCTGGCGTCGCCCCAAGGCGGGCGGGGAGCGGGACGCGGGTCGGGCGGCTGCTGCTGCCCGGCGGGGCCGTGCGCCAGCGGCGTCAGTTTCACCGCCGAGGCCTAGTGAGGCACAGGACAACCTGAGCCCGCCGAGCGCCGCCATGGCACGTTCCTGCCTCAAGAGGGCTGATGAGCCCCACGGGCACCGCCACCCGCAGCCCCCGCGAGGCGGCGGCAGCGGTACCAGCACTGCCACC